CAAGTACTCAAAGAAAAGAAATGAAACATAAAGGTCTGAAGAAAGAAGGAAACCAAAAAGGGAATGAAGCTCTATGGTCCGCATACAGAAGATCTCAAGGTCGTGACAGAAGGCTACCTCAAACAGAGGATCTCAAAGCTGTGACAGAAGGCTACTTCAAACAGAGGATCTCAAAATAGTGACATAAGGCTACTTCAAACAGAGAATCTCAAAATAGTGACAGAAGGCTACTTCAAACAGAGGATCTCAAAATAATGACAGAAGGCTACTCCATGCAGAAGACCTCAAAGTTGTGACAGAAGGCTACTCCAAGCAGAAGGCTCTGCTGATCCTAGTCCACGCGTCAAATAATAAAATTCTCCAACAAAGATCTCTGAAAAGAAATCAATTGAGTTAATACGAGAATTTACGTCTGCATGCAATCTACAAGTACGACACATGGTGATCCAATAAAGTCTTGGGAAGCAGCATTTTATTGATATTGTTTTTGAATGCAATATACCTTCATTATAATTGGTTGGAAGTCTTCTTAGAGTTTTTAACTCTTTAACCATTATTTGCAGATCGTACATCAGTGTTTTTTCATTGATGATGTGATAACGGAACACCATGGTGTCTCCGACTATTTGCCCATTTTATGTTATGTTCTATTACCGAGATTAATTGACTTGACGTCCCTATTACAGTGGTGCTTCTAACATTAAACATCATTATTGGACACAACTCTCTTCAAACAAGTGACATCTTTCTCCAAGCAATTCTTGATGACTTCATTTGCTAGATCATTCTTGGAGACCTAAGAAGAGCTCAGTCTCTCATCAGAAACGTCTCAAAGAGTTTGAACTTCAGTTCATTGGTAGAGAACTCACTCTGATTCGTACTACCTTGATTGGAACTTGAATAAATATGTTTCCACGAGCTAGACAACCTACCAAATCAGACTCACTCACGTGGTCTTGCTACCCATCATTTGCTACAAAAAAAATACATTCTAGAGGAGACTTGGGTTGGACAATCTGAAACAGAAAGATGAAGCCCGTGTGAACCTAGATCTCAATAGAACAACCACTCCAGAGGCTGCATCAAACCTCATTCATGATGATCATATGCAAATTATGGAAAAGTAGGATTTGAAGCAAAATTTTGCACATCCTTTCGAAGTTTTCAAAGGAGAGGTGATTTGAGATGAAGGGGAGATGACTACACTTTTCCATCAAATGGGAGATTACTACGAATCAAGACAAGACAAGACAAGATATATGTTTTGAGCATATCTGAATCAATACCCTTAATCTTGAGCAAACAATGAATCACCACTCTCGATCAAGGGTGGGCACGGGTGGTTAACCGGATTTCGGTTAACCCATTTTCGGTTAACCGAGATATCAATTACTAAATTTTATATACGGTTACCTGTACCGTAACATTGGTTAACCGAGTGCCGGTTAACCAATATTCCGGTTAACCATTTAACGGTTAACCAATAAACCATAAAACCGTGAAAGAGAAATGTAAAGTTGCCGATATTTTTGTTGTTTTTAAATTTGAACTTACAATTTTTTGAATGCAAATGACCTCCAGAACACTTCTAAGAGCACAAATTATTGCAAATATATATTTGTTTATAAACACGTTCTGCCCAATTCAATAATACAACGATCATTCCTCCCATATAGTTTGTTCAGATTGGCTTTCTAATATATGAAGTAATAAACTATTGAAGTTTGGTTCACTAGAATGCGTATTTATTTGTGCATGAATTGAATAATAATAATAATAATAACAACAATAATAATAACAATAATAATAATAATAATAATAATAATAATAATAATAATAATAATAATAATAATAATAATAATAATAATAATGCCGGTCAGTAGACTAGTGTACATACTCCACCGACAAAAGTTTATCCTATTTCTTTACCATAACTAGTAAAGTCTTCAAATATTTATAATAGAAAAGATTAAAAAAAACTAATCATCATTCTATTAAAATAAACTAGAGATAATTATCCTAGGTATCTAAAACTTAATGAGTTTCTCAATCTATGACCTAACTAGTTTCTTTACCAAAATAAAATAAAAAACCATAATATTTAATTATATTTCGTAATTAATAAATAATAATATTTTTTTGACAAATATACCCTTTAGCTTGTACCTATAAATCCCTAATCTCCTCTTCCATTTCTACAACCCTAGCTACTACATCACAACATCCAGCCGCGCAGCTGCCCATTGACCAACCGCCGCCCACCGTCTAGCCACTGTCCAGCGCCGCCGCCACCGTCCAACGCCGCCCACCGTTCAGCGCCGCCGCATTTCACAGAAGCACAATCGACAGCCACCAGTGCAACCAATCGTTTACTTGCCCGATCAACCCCACCCCATGTCATCTCGTCGCAGCTAGACCGCCGCCTGCTCCCGCCGCCGTCCTGATCCGTGAGCTCCTACATCGTCCTGATCCATGGGTGCCGCCGTCCAGCCGCCCGGCATCTTCTTCTAGATCCATCGTTGGAGCGTGTCCGAAACCTAGCAGGGAGGAGGGAGCGCGGCGCAAGATCGTCGCTGCAGAGACGGCAAAGTCGAGTGGGCGGCGTTCGTGCTGGTGTCCTTTTCATGTCGATCTGTGTTTGGGTTTGTGGTGTGTAGAGAAATAATGGGAAAAAGTGAGCAAGTGGTGGTCATTTGTTGAAACGTACGAATATGTACAGTGAATATTATACGGAGTATATAGGAGTAGGCATTAAAATTATGAGTTTTCAAAATTAGGATTTGTAGGCATTAAATATTGGCAGTGATATGGGCAGTGAGTATGATAATAAATATTGTTGGGTATGGTCAGTCAATTTAGGATTTGTGAGCATTAAATATGTGCATTGAACATTGACTAATAATCCATTAACACAAAGCAGTAATTTCGCCATGAAACGCAATATACTTAATTAAATGTAAAATAATAAAATTATTAAATCTAAAAAATAAATACTATAAATAACTTCGTAAAGTGAATGAGAAGAGAATTAATTTTGATGAAAGTGTAGTGATTATTATCGGATGTGCAGTAATGTCGTGCAGTAATATCGTGCAGTAATTCAAATTGGACAAAATTAGTGTAAAATGCACATATTTTAAATAAGGGTATTATCGTCATTCAACATTTAAATAAAAACGAATTTTTATTTTGATTTTGTATTTTCGGTCATACAAGAGTAAAAAAACTAGTTAGATCTTAGATTGAGAAACTCAATGAGTTTTAGTCATATTCTAAAAAATTTCCCAATAAACTAATTAAAAATACGTAGAGCAGCAACACGTAGCAACACGTAGCAACACTATATATATAATTAATATTGCACTTGTGCAACCTGGATGAGCACGTGGCAGCCTAGCAGGTGCCCTTAATTAAGCTAAGGGCAAAAGATAATGGATTAATGCCTTAGTTGATTCCGAGTGAAGAGCAAATAACAGAAGCCCTTATTCTCACAGCAGCAGTGGCGGAAGCACGTCACATTTAGTGGTTAACCGATGTTTAAATAATTTCAACCGTAACCGTCCCGCGTACCGTTTTTGCTTTGCGGTTGGTTAACCATACCGTGAATTTTAAAAAATTCAGTACGGTTAACCGAAAAATACAACGGTTTTTCCGTTTTTTTATTCGGTTAAACGGTTACGGTTTTTTTTTGCCCACCCCTACTCTCGATTGGTATCTATCCACGAAGTCATCAATTTTAATAAAATTCTGCACCCACAATTTTCATAAGCCATTTGCGATGTTCTCCAAGCTAACTATGAAATAGAATAAAACACGAAGTCATGTTCTGAAGGCGTATAACAACCCTAGGGTTCTATAAGGTGAAAATCCTACTCACTGAAGGAGAAAAAGATGGAAGGGAAGGGAAGAATGAACGTTTTATCTGCGAAATTATCACTCATGTGATCGTCCAGGTTTCAATAAAAAGGGGGATACGAATGATGTTGAGTTGGACTTTAGCTTTTCCATGCAAACGATTATTGAGTGGCAGTGCTAATACAAATTCTTAACGAATTAAGAGTGCTTTTCAGACTTTGTGTACCTCTGAATCCCAATTGCACTATAATGTGCTCTTTACTTCACACCTTGCAACCTATGTTGTAAGAACTGGACCGGGCGGGTTGACTCGGAACCCGGAGCCCAATCCGGTCCGGTTGGACCTCAACCCGTTAATTAGTCCGAAACCGGGATTACCCGCTAGCCCACGTTACCCGGCCCGAAACCCGGAACGACCCAAACCCGTAAATTAGATAAAGCCCGGTATTAATCTACACAAAAACAGAAGAGAAAGGATTTCGAACCCTGGTGGCAAGGGAGGAACCCGAATGTGTAACCATCAGACTACCTAGGCAACTTTGTTAGTGTCTTGCTTTAACTATATATATTACATATACCGTTTGTATGTGTCATTACACAAAAACTTGTTCATACTTCATATTTTTTTTAATGAGCTTCTACGTTAATGATAATAAAAATACACTCAGTAACACATCAGTACGTACTATTGCTATATTTTCAATAAACATCATATTCATATTTATTGGTCATCTAATTCAAATTACATTTTATATTTTATTAAAAATTGTATATATTAGAATAATAATTTGGTTTTAAATGTTGACCGGGTTTTACGGCTTTGACTGGGTTGACCCGCCGGTTCCGGGTTGACCCGTGACCCAATCACTCGACCGGGTCGCTTCCCGGTCCGGTTTTTACAACATAGCTTGCAATTTGAGTCATTTGATTCTTTTCTCTCGCAAAACATTTTGAAGATCTATTTGGTGACCATGTTTTTGAACTCATCAACTTTATTAGCCATTAGTTTCACCAATTGCAACTTTAAATTCTCGCCAAAAATCGTATAATAATCAAAATACGTAAGATTAAAATGACTTTTCTGACTAATATAAATTAATTGAAGATACAAGTGAAAATTGTTTAACTATTTTCCCATATTTTGTTTCTTTATTCATTGATTATTCAAGAGTTTCAACCCATTTTAAGTGTTACCAAATATGCTCTAAATATACCATGATTGTATAGAAATATACTTCATAGATTATATTAATTTAGTGACCTCCTATGATGCTTCGTAAACATAACGAAAGCAATAATTAAGATAGATAAAGTTGACATTTGCTTAATTATCTCTCAAAACCTTCAAATCGTGAGGAACTCAACAAAGAGGTTATAACGGGCTTCGAAGGAAAAACATAAAATGGAGGAGCGTATACCTTAACAGCCCTTCCATCCAAAACTCAAGCCCCAAACACTTCTTAAAACTCAGCTAACAAACGCACGCTATAGTTTTTGGGTGCGTTGTTCAAAAGGCAAAATAATCACACAATGACACAACGTTAATGAAGAAGGGTGGTATGAATTACTCCGTAATACACTACGCACTATTTGAGTATTTAGCACTATCTCTGTCTCAATTTCATGAAACTAGTTCTTATTCACATGATCAACACGAATCACTCTTAATCTCTTACTTTATATATCAAATTTGATTCAGGTGTTTGCGACATTGTAAAACTTTTAATTTAGTGTCTGAATATGTAGTTTTATTTTTATAAAAAGAATTGAGTGCGAACATCAAATTGGGACGGAGGGGGCAATAGTCAACGTCAAAAACTTACTTCATACTACGTATTAATTAATAATAAAAACTAAACAAACAATTGTGACTACTCATTTTGCATTGTAAATATGTATTGCCGATTTCAAGTTTCCAGATAGAGAGAAAATTGGTGAGACGGTGCATTTTTCTGGATTGAGTTGGAAAAATAAATGGAGTAGGCTGAACAAAATCCAAGAACCCAACAAAAAAGCCTAATAACCCATTTATTTACAAGCTTTCGTTAACGCATTCCAAAACATTCCGTTGGCAAGTGTCACCTTACATAACACTACACGCATTCGGGTTCTCATCGCTAAACATTTGAGGCGCAGGAGGGTAGTGGTAGTACATCGGGTCCTGTACATAACCCGACCCGTACATGTACGGGTACCCGACTTGAACCTGCATCCTGTTCACCTCTTCCACGCTCTTCTCTCCGCCACCGCCACCGCCACCGCCACCGCCACCACCGCCTTCTTTCTTACCACCCTTCCCCTTCTCCTTTTCCGCCTTCTCGTTCCCGCCGGCGCCGTCTCCGCCTCCTTTCTCTTTCTTCTCTCCGCCTTCCTTCTTCGGCGGCACGACCTCAACCTCCCTCTTCAGGTGCTTCTTCAGATTCTCACATAACGCTTTCACGTCCATCGATCCCGTCACCGTCACCAATTCTTTCTGTTTATCCAGCTTCATCTCGTGACATCCTATTATGCCGTTAAAACTCCGTTATTAGAGAGAACAGAAACATTTAATGATTATTGCATTAAAGTTGCATCCAACCAGACTTTTAAGGATTTTAGTATCGATAATTTTTTTTACAAAATTAAATTTCTTTTGATTCTTCTATCAATTTTTGGGTGAATTATATGAAAATCATAAGAAATTGAAGTGGATTTTGAAAAAATGCTAAGTAATGATTTCATAGGAATGCATATAATATCGTTCCACTGAAATGTACTCTCTCCGTCCCCTAACAATGAGACGGAATTAATAAAAAGTAGTTTATGTGGTTGATATTGAATTGATAAAGTAAGAATGATTTAGAGCTACATAAACTTTAAATCATTTTTGGTAAAATGATTGGTATGTGACAATCTTAATGGGAAAAATAAAATGGGACAATCGAAATAATTGTTTTTAAAAAAATTACCAATTGCACTTTAAACAATAAAACATGCTTAAAAGTGTGCTTAAAGTCCTTCAAAAAAAAGTGTGCTTAAAGTTATTTCGTAGCATTTTTATTTATTTTATTTTGTGTGCAAGTTTTGTTTGAGAGAGATGCTTGTTTAGAGCATCTCCAATGCCAAAATGTGCACAGTGCACATGTGGCATGAGTGATAGCCACATAAATATTAGCAAATAAGTTATCTCTCTCCTTATTTGAATGATTTTATACAATTTTGATAAGTTTTTCCCTGCATTGTCAACTGCAATGTCAACATTTAGACGGTCTCCTTGACATTGTGGAGAAAAACTTACTAAATCTGTATAAAATCATTAAAATAAGGAGAAAAAGAATTTATTTACTAATATTTATATGGCTATCTCTCATGGCACGTGTGCACCGTGCACATTATACCATTGGAGATGCTCTTAGTTTAAGATTAGAAATCCAAAAAATGGACTCAAATCTACCAATTTATAGAAATTATAAAAATCTATCCAAAATTTTAGAAAACAAAAGTGGGACACTCAAATTGTATTTGATAACTGATTGAATTGATGAGTTCTAGGGTTTTTTAAAAGAATATTACTAAAATAAAACTTATTTACATAATTATGACTATTCATTACTACAACGTAGTGTTGTAACATAAGTTCAAAACTTGAACACGAATTACTATGATTTCATTACTACTCTGGTAATTAATCATACTTTTGTAAGTCATCTTTATTTTGATCAAATTATTTCAAATGAACATCTACAATTCTAAGTAGAAAAGTAACTTTTAATCTAATAATTTTGATTAATACACTCTTTAGGGCGAAAATTGCAAAATAAATTACCAAACGGCTCTTTAATTCTCAAAATTGTGAAGTCAAACCCCTCAAATTTACCAAATTTTAAAATTAATGAAATGTAATACGCAGTATTGAGAAGCCCTTTATAATGCCGGACTAAATCTCTCAATGCTCACCTTTGGTTTTGTTGACGATCTTCTGAATTTTTTGAATGCAACCTTCGCAATGGAGATTGATCTTAAGCACAGTCGTCTTCACCACCGGCGCCTGCGGGCAAAAAAATCAGAAACGAAAATTCAAATCCGCAGTAAATGAGAATCACTGTTGTTGCAGAATGTGGAAGATTGCCAGTAATAATAAGTACTGTAAAGCGTTACAGCCACGCAATTAATGAATGCGAATTGAATTTATCAGTAACTGTCCTTTTTTTTCTTCTTCACTCCAATGCTTCTTTTTCATTCATTCATATTGATATTGATTTGGATTGGACGAATGAGAGAAGCGGTGATGTGAAATGCCTTGAAAATGGAAATGATGAGCATAATAAATTATTACCACATGCTAACATGCGCTTTCGAAGCCATGGCTTTCAACGCCATTTGCTTTATCAAAGTGACTTTTCGTTCAGGAAAACTAGACATACCGAGATGTACGGTAAAGTAGTTGTCACTCTGAAGATCATACTCATAAGAAATAATTGAGGAATTTCAAAATCGGATTTAGAGAAAATAATTGAGAATTTTTTTGATTTTTTTTTAAACTTTTGGTCTGATGAAAAGCTGTAAAAGACCTAAAAATATTGACTGGATAACTGGATGTGGGAGGAAATGCTAAAATGCGCAGCGTGGAAGACAACGGTAAATAGTTGGAAGGGAAAAACAGAGGAGACAGAGAGAAGAGTATCAGTAGGGTACTATACCGCTTTCTCTTTTTCCTTTGCTTTTTTGTTGTTATCTACTCCCTTATTCTCCTTTGAATCCCCGTCCTTGTTGTTGTCCTTCTTTTTTGCCTTCTCACCTCCATCGCCGCCGTCTTTGACCTTGTCGCCGCCTTTGCTGGGCGGCTGCGGCGACACCAGTACCACTGGTTTGTGCGTCTTCGCCTCAACCTTCTCACGGAGCGCCGTCGGATCCACCTTCCCCGTCACCGTCACCTTGCCCGTCGCACTGTCGACTTTCACATCCTCCACACCTTCTCCACACAACAAAATCACATCAGGTTCATAGACCGAAGGGAAAAACAGAAATTGCAAAAACAAAGTAAAAATTGAACAGCCACAACCGTATAATAAATCTCTTACAACAAAAACAGAGATGTATGAAGCACGAGATGATGAAACAGGGTGAAGACTGGCTGAAAACGGTAAAATAGAGAAGAGAAATGGCGAGAAAGTGATATTTACCGTCATAGGCGCGGATAACTTTGACCAGTTTGGAAGCGCAACCCTCGCAATGTAGATCGGCCTTGAGAATAACAGAAATCTTCGTATCGCCGTCCTTCTTTCCGCCGTCGGTCTTCTTCTGTTCGCCGCCGCCGGCCTTCTGGTTCTTCTTCTGCGAACCGCCGAAGCATGCACACAGCATCATGGGTCAATATATGAGATTCATGAGTAATGATAGTAGCAGTTCATTCAGAGACATAAAAGGAGGGCATAGAATACTTACAGCACCCATTGATGAGGAGGAGATTAATTAGCAAGAGAGCAGAGAGATTGTTTTTCCCAGAAAGATATTGAAAAACCGATTGTGGCAGTGGGGGCGGTATGTGAATATATAGAACCGCCAGCGTGGGGAAACACGATTGTTGTGCACCTGTGTAGTGCGTGTGAGAAAGTGGACGATTTCCCGATGACTTGTCAATTTGAAGGGTCCTTGGAAATACTCCACCTACGCTAATGGTGTTTGCTATTGCTTTTCATTTAAATTCTACATTGGGAAAATAATCAAATAGGTACTCGAACTTTCATAAAAAGGTCAATTAAGTCCTTCTATAGGAGGTTTTGTCCGGCCGTCGCGATTTGGGGCAGTTCCCGGTGGAATTTTTTGATGAAATTTTTTAAGCATCTTATTCACCAAGTCTAGTTTACTCATACCAAATTTCAGCTAAAAATTCAATCGGGAACACATTCAAATTAATTCATGAAGATAACTGCACATTTTTGCGTTGCGTTCTCGAATTAATTTGAATGCGCTCCCGATTGAATTTTTAGTTGAAATTTGGTATAAGTAAACTAGACCTGATTAATAAGATGCTCAAAAAATTTCATCAAAAAATTCCACCGGAAACCGCCCCAAATCGCGACGACCGGACAGAGTCTCCTATTGTTGGGTAAATGGCCCCGAGCAGGGGTCCGGCCCAATTACCCCCAAACCGACGTACGTCGCCCAGCCCACGGATGGCCCTGGCCTGAAGGAATGAGGACGAATGTCTATCTATGGGATAACAGCACAAGGTCCCGGCCGAGGGTCGGTTAGCACATCCATGACGAACGTCGTCAGCCGAGGCCCATCTCCGTAGATGGCCCAGGCCCAAAAGATTGTTACGTTCTCAGGAAGGGCCGCAGACGGACGGCCCCCGGTTCTACCAGACGATCGTGGTCAGGAATTAGGCAGGGAACCCAGATTCTGGCGGGAAGCGCATTTAATGCTGGAGATTTGGTGGTTGGGCCACAACCATTAACAATCCTCCACATCATCAGGACTAACTGCCCATTGGCGGGTATAAATAGTAGCATTTATTTCATTGTAAAGGGTTGGCAACTTTCTATTCTTAGCATCCGAGCTATTGCATTCTTACTCGCAGCATCTCTACTGCCTTGTAAGACGAACGGCCGACGTGCCCTTTTTAGCAAGTAGATTGTACTTAGGGAAGTTATTACGAAGTTAATAATACCTATTTACATTGCCTGCTATTTCCTTTGTTTCCTGATCCATCTAATAGTTGTTGGGCTAGATATTCATACATTCACTCCACGCGAAATCTTTGGGCTTACGTGTTGGGTCCAAGGGTTGAAGGAACAAACCTCAACACCTATAAAAGGACTTAATTGACTTTTTATGAAAGTTCGAGTACCTATTTGACAGTTTTCCCTTTCTACATTTTTCTACATTTAAAATTGATGAAGGATCTTATGATATGATGCCATTGTGACTAGGGGTGTAAATGGAGTGCAATTTTGTTCACCCCTCCATGAGGGTGAACATCACCCCTTAGCTCAATTGTTGCCATTTGGCATTCAATTTCTTTCTTTTTTTAAATTACAATAACTTTTTTATTTGGTGTTCAACTTTTATAAAAAATATATCAGATTTAATAATTTTTTAAGATCTTTCCAATGATATCAATATTGTATATAAAAAAATTAAAAAAAATCTTTTTTTCTACATATTCATTTTTAGCTGATTTTTTTTAAAAAAATTTTTATATGCAATATTGGTACCATATGAAAGATTGAAAAAAAATAAAAATTTTGATATATTTTTAGAAACATTTTAGATTAAAAAATAAAAAGTTAAAACAATTACTATATTATTACTAATTGCCTTGCCACATGGCAAGCAAATTGGGGGGGGGGGGGGGGGGGGGGTTATGTTCACCCTCCTTTGAGGGGTGAACAAAATTGCACTTGTGTAAATGAGCCAAGCCGCTCGCGAGCTGCTCGTGGATCGCTCGGGAAAAGCTCGACTCGAGTTCGGTCATATTAAGATCGATTCGAGTTCGGCTCGACTAGAATGGTTAACAAGCTCTATTCAAGCCTATTTATTTTAGGCTCGTGACTCGCGAGCCGGTTCGCGAGCTTTTGTGTCATATTTTATATATAATTAATATATATGTAATAATTATATATATACTTGTTTTGAAATATATATTCTAATGTAGGACTATTCCATTTTTAATACTTATCACAGAGTATATTATAATAGTAATAATTTCAAAAATAATAACATGTGCGTAGTATTATTATTATAACCATAATCTGTAATAATTATAATATGTACTCTTAATATTTATTGACAATAAAATAAAGAATATAAATGTTAGTAAATGAGAGATAAACTAAAAATGAGAATGAATAAGTACACATATAATATTTTTAGCTCGAGTTCGAGCATCTTATTCAAGTTCAACCCTATAAAATTAATTAGCGAAACTTGACTTGAGCTCGAATCAAGCTTGGATGGAGCTCGAGTCGAGCTCGGCTCGAGATCGAACTCGAATTATTTAACTCGTCCAAGCTCGAGATCGAGCTCGAACTCGTGAATTCTTATCAAGTTCAAGCTCAAGCATACCCATGCTCGGGCTCGACTCGGCTCGTTTGCACCCCTAATTGTGACTCTCCAAAAAATTTGAGAGTTCTGTTTGGTAACACGGATAAATCGGTTGGATCTGCTGAAATTTATGAAGTTCTGGTTGAAGTGGTTGTATTGACTGATTCTACTAATTTATGAAAAAAATTATATTTAAAAATATATTCTATTAATAAAATAAAGAAAATTTATAGGAAAAAAGTTAAAATGGCTATCTACAATCACTTCAGTCAATATAACCAAAAAAATAACTACAACCTTACTTTTTCTTATTATTACACAATTTAACGCGTGAAATCAAAATTTACGTGTTTGGTTAAAAATTTAGCTGATAAGCCATATAAGCTGGAAAAAGGCGTCGTCAAACGGGCTCTGAAAGTCTCGTTCAAATAATGAAAGATAATGTAGTATTACCTCATCTCATAAAACTTAAAATAGTTTTAAAACTTTGACAGATTTTCTTATAAAATTATGTAAACTTAAAAATAGGAATTTTATGTTTTTCCCTAAATAGGAGTAACTTGCTAACATATTGAAAATCACAGATAACAAGTCAAAATATGGAACTACCGTGACTACGTCTTTCGTGCTTAGTTGAGTGGACCCCACCGCCTAATGCCACCACCTAACGCCGACAACTAACGGTAATCTCCTGATCCCCGGGTAAATTGCACATGTGGCACATGTGACATGGTGTGGCCTCCAGTTTTTGCTTTTTCTTTTTTCTTTTTTGCTTAGCTGAGTGGACACCACCACCTAACATCGTCGATAAACGGCACCGCCCTTGGTTCAGCAAAGACCCACCCTAATCACCTTCTTGTTCCTTTATCTGTTATAATTTCTTTCCTTTTCTTTCCTTCCTCTTTTTTCTTTGGTGTAAAAATTTATTGTGTGTGTGTTTGTGTGTGTACATGGAGAGGTATCAAAGGTGGAGGGCGGCTGACGAATTACAAGAAAGAAAGAAAGAGAAAGAGAAGGAAGAAAATGAAAAACAAAAACAAAATATTTGACACGTCGCTGCATGTTTATGTATATCGGAGAACTGTTGTTAACCTCTTAAAAAGATGATTTGATATTTTTGAAGTTGGAGTACTTGATTGGATGATAATTGAGTTAGCTAGGTGGGGGGGGGGGGGGGGTCTTGTTTGACTATTTCGTAATAGTAGCAGACTTATTTGACAATTTTCTCTAATAAGTTATTAATCGGCATAGTGTCAAGATGAAGAATTGATTTAGTGAGTTAAATACATAATTACTCATATGTTTAGAATGTCTTGATCCTTTTCTCAAAAAAAGAAGAATATCTTGATCAAAAGTGCTTTGTCATGGATGTCGTACGGATTGGTAGATCCTTATCAATCTCCAGCCAAAATCTATGCAAAAGTGATTTTGTTATGGAAGAATTACACAATCTAGCAAAAAATGTGTTAATTCGTGTTGAATTAGTGTCTAACACTTGAATGTTTTTGCAAAACAATATATTAAGCCTTCAAAGTATAATATGTAAATTTCGATTACTAAATAGAGCTGTGCTAATGAAAGAAATAGTAAATCAGAGTTGTACTTCCTTTTTGGACACAACAACATTATATTTCAAACAAGTACAAATAAATTTCGTAGTACGATGTGTAACGTTGGACATGATCACAATTTTGAATCGATACTCTAATTGTTAAAACTTAACAGTATGAAAAACAACCAGAATTCTAATCCAAAATCAGAATGGGATATTGATTGAAAGGGATATTGAATTTTTTTTCCAGATATAAAGTTAATCCGTACATACCAGACGGAATAGATATGATTCACGTCCGACCCGCCCGACCCTTACCTGTGGTTGAAAAATTAAAAGTTGTGGTTGAAGTTTGAGTGTAATAAAATGAAATGGTGTAGGCCACATATTTCTTTCCAAAAAAGGAAAGGAGACACTTATTTTGGGACAACCCAAAAAGAAAAGTAGGACAGATAAAATGGGACGTATGGAGTATTTGGTAAATATCCGTTGCGTTTAGCTGGTTACACTTAAAACCCCAATCTTCTAAACACATAGGGTAAGAGTAACAGGATTTAATGAACATGTTAAAGAATTAGATACAATAGCAGAAAACATGAGGATAATATTAGATAAAACAATTGTAAAGATACCAATAATATCAAGAAGAAAATATGAAACAACAAATACTATTAGGAAATAACTTCTTAGATTTCTTCAAAACACAAGTAATAAAAAGTGATACAATAAGTCTATTAACTCCATGCAATAAATGGATCATATTAAAAAGAATACTACCAATACAATCATTAAGAATATATAATATGAAAACCGAAAGACAAAATAATCTAGAATTATTAAAACAAGAATATTTGACATTATTAAAAATAAATCTTGGAGAAAATCCAATAACATTATGGGAAAAAGAAAAAATATATGCAAAAATAGAATTGATAAACCCTAATGAAATTGTAAGATGCAGACCAATAAGATATAGTCCCACAGATAAAAAAGAATTTGAAAATCAAATAAAA